ATCATCCCTGATTCCCTGCCTAGTCAATCACGGAAACTTGACCACTGTCGCCTCTGGGTGAATATATAAAATTGTCACTGACTTTTGCTATCACCACTGTATTTTTGTATTTGATACTGACCACTGCCATATTATTTATTGCCATTGAATATTGCACTATCACTCTATTGCTTACTGCCATTGTTATTGCTGTGCAGTAATTTGTATTTGTTTGTAAACTTAGTGGATTGTGTAATACATTTGTTGGTTGTATACCAATTGTTGATTGTTTGTTGGTTAATTTCCGGATTAACATATTGTTTCCATTTGGGAATCGACACGTAACAGTGTTGAAATGCCTGTGATTTCATTTTCGGATGAAATGTACATTGTTTGCTGATCAAGCAAACAGTATGCAAACAACGGTACCAAACTTTCAAGACATATCAATTGACCTAAGTCTTATGTTGTTCTGCAATGAAGATCTTCTTCAGCAAAAATAACGAAGCTACATTTCAAGTAGTTAATCTTGATATATTTAAAGCAAGAAGATTTTAATGATCTGATCTTCCACTATTAAATACTAGTATCTCTTATACTGCTTCCTCAATTTACTCATTTTTTTGTTAACATACGATGTAAGCTGATTAATTTAAATACCTGGTAGAGGGTTTCTGAGTTAAATAAGTTGCATGTTAAGAATAAATTCAATATGTCAGTTGATATGTGTCACAAAAGAGCACACCCACCTACGGATTTTAGTGAGTGAGTATGGTTTAACGCCTCTTTTAGCAATATTTCAGCAAAATCACGGCGGGGGACACCAGAAATGGGCTTCTGACATTGTACCCATGTCGGGAATCGAACACGGGTCTTCGGCGTGACGAGCGAACGCTTTAACCACCAGGCTACCTGACCGATCCCCTACGGATTTTAACTGACATAAATGACTATTATATAAGATGCAGACTCTGAATGTCAGAACCATGTTCACATGTAATACTGTTTGTTCTATGCAATGAACATGTTCAAAAACAAGAACGTGTAAAAACATTAAAGACTCGATTGGGAAGAAGATAACTGCAAATCACAAAAAGAAGTTGTAAGACAGTATACTGCCTCAGTCTTGTCTTCTATCTACATGACCCGTGAAGATGCGGGGTGGAATAGGTCTCCAGCAACCCATGCTTGTCGTAACAGGCGACTAATGGGATCGGGTGGTCAGGCTCGCTGACTTGGTTGATGCATGTTAAGATCCGGGGTAGAATAGGTCTTCAGCAACCCATGCTTGCTGTAAAAGGAGACTATGCTTGTCGTAAAAGGCGATGAACGGGATCGGGTGGTCAGGCTCGTTGACTTGGTTGATGCATGTTATCAATCCCAAATGCGTGGATCGATGCGCATGATGTCAATCACCGGATAGTCTGGTCCAGACTCGATTACTTACAGACCGCCGTCATATAGCTGGAATATTGCTGAGTGCGGCTTTAAACAACAAACAAACAAACAAACAAACAATTCTATCTACACCAAGCTTGGCGTGCCTGGCGGTGACGTCGAAGCAAAACAGCGTGCACGTGTATTCCTGTACGTCACAGGGCCGGATGTAGTGCTCCCTCAACCGGTTGCCTATGGTTCTGCCCCTAATTGGTCTCAACCCAGGAATTGTCCGATCTGTTTATGTCAGTTTGGTATCGATTCTGTAGATGCACCAAACGAATGTGAGTTGTCTTGTTTCCGTGACGTCACGCGTGGACAACCGGCCCTAAGCAAGTCCTGAGTGTTGCGACCCGTGAAGATCCGGGGTAGAATAGGTCTTCAGCAACCCATGCTTGCCGTAAAAGGTGACTATGCTTGTCGTAAAAGGCGACTAACGGGATCTGGTGGTCAGGCTCGCTGACTTGGTTGATGCATGTCATCAATCCCGATTGCGTGGATCGATATTCATGATGTCAATCACTGGATTGTCTGGTCCAGACTCGATTATTTACAGACCGCCGTCATATAGCTGGAATATTGCTGAGTGCGGCGTTAAACAACCAACCAACCAACCAACCAACCTGAGTGTTGCCCTGCTGTAGATAACGTCACCAAAGAGATGATATTGTGTTTCAATGAACATTACAATGTCTGGCAGCTTCGTTTTGCGCCATTCCTATTTGCAGCATATCCACGTCAGGTAGAAGTTGATTTTCAACAAACCGTGTCATTGCGTAAACTTTTTTTCGTACAGTTAAACAAGTCTTTTTTATTAGCATCCGATAGTTAAACAATCATTGTGTGGTCGTCACATTAAAAAACACGTGTGTGAGTATCATGCTCCCAACAAACACGCAACGATTAAACTTGTGCCCGTGCATGAACATGCACGTGCAATTGTGAATTACGATCTTAAAGTCGATGGGGCCTCTTCATGAATATGTATTGACAGATGCATTATTGAATTTTTTGAACTTTTCATGAAGCACAGTTACTTGTTTCTGTTGGTATATAACAGTATATGGGTGGACGAATGTTCCAATTTGATCCCTTTTAGTCTCCCTATTGTTGCACCAACGCCATTGCATCTGCTTGCGGCTGATCTGTTTGTTACACTTCAGCTGTCAAGTGAGATTTCTTCAATTGGGTTTACCTGTAGAAGCTGCATCCATCCACGTGAAACATAACCGCCTCCGTGGTCTAGTGGTAGAGCGTCCGCCCGGAGAGCGGAAGTCCGGGGTTCGATCCCCGACCGCGTCATACAAAAAGACGTTAAAAGATGGTACTTGTTGTTACCCTGTCTGGCGCTTGGCATTAAGGGGCTAAAACAAGGACTGGTCGGCTCGGAGTCAGTATACTGTGTCTGAGTGGGGTATTCATGTTAAACTGCGGCATGGTATCTCAGTGAGCTAGCACTATAAATCGGCATCAGTCCGGACTAGTACAAGCAGCCACACAAACACGCACACGTGCATGCACGTCGCTATATAAGTGCAATAATCTTGGACGCGACGTTAAACCCCATTTCACCTCACCACGTGAAACAAGCAGCGTCTGCCGCTATCATAAATCTGACACTGAGAGCTTCATCCACCAGCAGACAGTTTTACTGTATCAGTTATGCGTGGGCGTCGAAAAAGCGTCGATTTTACGCTTGTAATTAACGACGAATTTTCAATGCTTTTTGGACGCGCACCAGGTATTGAATTTTCCTTCGATGCTTCGTCCAATGGCGACATATGTGTTTGCAGTGCATGAGTGAGTGGGTTACTGGAAACAGTTATATGTAAATGGTGGGTGTTTGTCTTACCTAGAATACCCACGGGCTTCTTTACTTAATACGAAGACATGTATTGTACAGGTAGATTACATATAAATACAGAAACGCGACAAACACAAACAAACACATCAACAAACAACCAAATCGATGCACTCACGGTTCTCGGCGTCAAAGGCTCCATGTACAGAATCCTTTGTTTAATACCGTACCCCATGTAGGTTTCATCAGTGTGTTTAATGTTAAAGATTAGCGTCACTTCAGAATTTCCTCCCACGTCAAGCTGAAACGCAGTACATGTAATATAATGTGTTCAAAGCTGCGTTTAACCAAACTCACTCATTCCTGTCAGCGGCGAGACTTTTGGTTAGTAGCAGTCGGCGACGAGAACCTTTAACGCAGAGTTTAACGCCTCTTTGAAGAATATTCCATATTTATCACGGCGTGCCAGCTTAATATGGGAGGAAAGCCCGAAATGATGCCGGTCTCAGAATGTTACAACTTTGGTGAAAGCAACGAGCACGGGTATGGGTGGAAATGAAAGTGGCCTAAATTAATTAAAAAGTCCACAAACAGTAAACGGCAACTGACTAGGTTGCTACCTTGATATTTGTGCAAATCCTCCTTAAGCAATACAGAAAGCTATAAGAACAATACCACTGAAACAAAACCTACACTCATGTAAACGGTTATATTTTTTCATTTTCAAAATGTGTCGTCATCAACTAATTGACCTTAACTTTCTGAGAGAAATACTGAAAACAATTGTATTTGTTTGTTTGTTTATTTGTTGTTTAACAGGGCACTCAGCAATATCCCAGCTTCATGAAGGCGATCTGTAAATACTCGAGTCTGGATCAGACAACCCTGCAGTGATTGACATCATGAGCATCGATCCACACAATTGGGATACGATGACATGCATCAACCAAGACAGCGAGCCTGCCCACCCGATCCCGTTAATCACCTCTTACGACAAGCATACGGCAAAGAAGGGTTGCTGAATACCTTTTGAAAAGTTTGTGAGTTTGGCGATGAACACAAACCCTACCCTCAGTGGAAATTTCACGCAGTTACTTCTACCCACTTATTTCTTCAATAGTCGGGCGCGGTAATATAGCTAAATGGTTAAAGCGTTAAAGCGAATGCCTAGGTTCGATTTCCCCATGGGTGCAATGTGTTAAGCCATTCTGGTGTTCTAGGAATCTTGGCAAAGAGACGTAAAACATACACTCGCTCAATAGTCATTGAAGCATACGTAAAATATCTTCAGGCACTCTCTTGTGGCGTTTTTATGTGATACTGAAATACTGAACTTCATTCTGTCTTAACATATATAGTTGATATGTACACGTTTCACGTTTAACCAAAAATAATAAAAACACATTAAGAGCAATATTGTCAATGCATGCATTTCCCATAATTCCAAAATTATCATTACAAGAGAATTTTTGGGGGAGAACAATGTTCATGGAAAATTAATACATTGCCTAAACACGTTTTTGAAGTGCGACTTCCGCAAACGGTTGTAATCAATATTTAAGGATAAAACTGTATACTTGACATTTATTTAAGACTCGTTTCATTATTACATTTGAGACAAAATATATTTCGTTCACTATGCGGGTTGTAACGACATTAACAAACCGGAAATAGTCAGAAAAACGACAATCATGGCGGCAAAAACGAAAGTTGACAACATTCTACTGTCGTCTTGTACTAATTTTAATGTATGTCGACAAACTTTTCTGTGGATATGTTATTTATGGAATCATGCCTTCGACATGTCTAGATATTTGTTTGTTACGGTGATAAGTAATGGTTGTCAGGACGAAATATGGCTGTTCGCTACATTTGGCAAAAGAGGATATTCAAAGAAGTCTTAATAATGTCAAATGAAAAATAATGTCAAATGAGTGAGAGGACTGTTCGGCAAGTATATTACTTATGTAACTATAAATTACTGCATTGGTGGCCATCATGTGACAGAAATAGTAGTGTAGTTTTCCGCTCCGTTAGTGGCATCACCTGTTTTCGTTGTATTTTTATGTGACTCTCAGTCTCGCAATAAAAAAAAACAGACACCGTGTTTACAGCGCCACCTGCCCCTAGATTTTTCGAAACTAACGCTGCCGCGTTATAACCAATGTCAGTATGTTAGTTTCTCTGTTCTCATATGACAATACATAATAGGACTGGCTGTTGATATAGTATAGAGATCGATAATTACTCACTAAGTATTGATTAATAATCGATAATTATCGGAGAAGTAACTTTAACTTTAAAATGCAAGAAAGTCACAAGAAAGACATCAACATATTTCACTCATTGGTGAGCAGTGACACATTTATGCATAGATTACTTTGTGGACATTTGAGATATAAGATTAACAGTTGCTTTCCTTCTTCAACAGTTGACTTTATCATGTTTATCATGTTTATTGACAATGACAAGACTGTTTCAGTTAATCTAAACTTTGATCTCATCACAATATTTTATGTAAGTAAAAATACATAAAAATACATAAAAATACAACAATATTTTATGTAACAATTTCATATTGATAATCGTTAATATTTCTTCCCACCGATGATAATTGTGATTATCTATTGTTTTAGTCATCCCTTCTACATAATCATGATAAGATATATTCATAGCCGATTGCTGCTATGCTGGATGTAGACTCATGTCTTGACTGTTGTGACTCTTGGCTAGATAATTCACTGTCATGGCATTGCGCACCTTTCAGCTATTTCAAAACGTTTTTCAAGCTTGGATGTCTGACTGTAAACATGGTAAAGCCAACATTATTTCATTTTAAATTGGCCTGTCGATTTATGAAAATTTATAGATCATAATTTTGGGGTCATCTCTGATATGTTTTTTGCTATTTTGCACAATTGCTCCTTAAGCCTGATCTGTTGGTGAAACTTTCAAGTGGTGTTATTGTGGTGATTGGTCTTTGAATATGGAAAATTGGTGAACCAAACGTTGGTGTTGTTCTTATTATTCCAAAAGGAAATCCACTTTTTTTGTCACAGAGTTTGACTTATCACAGATTCTACCACCTGCATTGTCATGGTTGGTTGGTTGGTTTCTTGTTTTACGCTGCACTCAGCAATATTCCAGCTATATGACGACCGTCTGTAAATAATCGAGTCTGGTCCAGACAATCCAGTGATTAATATCATGAGCATTGATTCACGCAATTGGGATTGATGACAGGCATCAACCAAGTCAGCGAGCCTGCTCATGATATCAATCACTGGATTGTCTGGTCCAGACTCGATTATTTACAGACTGCCGTCATATGGCTGAAATATTGCTGAGTGCCCTTGTTAAACAATAAACAAACATCATATACAATGATATAGGAGGGTTCATAGAACACAATTTTCACCTTGAGATGGTTTCTTGACATTGAAAGGTAAATCTTGCCTGTTAAAGACAATTGTATTCTATAAGGTGAACATACAGTTTTTAATTTGTCCTCAGACATATCCAGCTGTGCCACATTTTCTCTCAAAAGGGAGGTAACTCTCCCAAGTGCTCAAGTACGAGTTTACTTCTTGAGTAGTGCTTCTACTTGAGTACCCATTTCACTTCTAGTTTTAGTTCTATTTTGTAAACTGAACCCTTGTTCAACCATTTTACTATTTGTCATCCAAATGAAACAAAACTAACCAATGAGTTTTTAATTGAGTTATAATGTGTGTCGCCATCCTTCACTTAAAGAATATTAACTTGCAGATATTAATGTAAGACATGTATTTAGAACTTGTGTTGTCATCCTTAAGTTACACCCGAATATGTTTCTTGGTTTGTCAGCACCATACCCTTGCTCATGTGTTTCACCGAAGTGGTAAACACCTGGTAAAGGTCTGTGAGAGAAGCATCACATCAGGCTTTCCTCCCACATTAAGCTGACCCATCGTAATGTAACTGGAATACTGTTCAAAGTGGCTCGCTCACTCACTCACTCACTCACTCACTCACTCACTCACTCACTCACTCACTCACTCACTCACTCACTCACTCACTCACTCACTCACTCACTCACTCACTCACTCACTCACTCACTCACTCACTCACTCACTCACTCACTCACTCACTCACTCACTCACTCACTCACTCACTCACTCACTCACTCACTCACTCACTCACTCACTCACTCACTCACTCACTCACTCACTCACTCACTCACTCACTCACTCACTCACTCACTCACTCACTCACTCACTCACTCACTCACTCACTCACTCACTCACTCACTCACTCACTCACTCACTCACTCACTCACTCACTCACTCACTCACTCACTCACTCACTCACTCACTCACTCACTCACTCACTCACTCACTCACTCACTCACTCACTCACTCACTCACTCACTCACTCACTCACTCACTCACTCACTCACTCACTCACTCACTCACTCCAAGGTTATCGTCTCTGGTTGGTATTAAGTTTTGAACTTTATTTCCAGTATTGTCACTACTAGATGCATCAATGGAGAAAGGTGGTCTCACAGATGAACAGAGGAGGAAAATAGAAGAAAACCGCAAACGAGCCTTGGAACGACGTCAACAAAAGAGTCCACAGAAAGCATCTCTTCCTGTTCAAACTGTCACAACAAATAAAATCATTAATCCACCATCTCAATTTCCAGGAAACAAAGGACAAATAAGCAGTTTTGGACTGACAACTGTTAGAAGCATTGGTACAAACTCACATCAGCACAGTTCCAAACCACCTTCTTCATCTTTGGGATCAATAGCCTCAGAAAAATCATTTCAGAATAACCGGTTCCAACAGTACAGCTATTCACATGCTTCTGGCCAGAGCAAATCTAGTGATTGGAAAAACACAAGGACTAATTCATCCAGCACGACAAGTGGTCTATATAAGTCTGGACATAAGCAAGATCCTGTGTCGGCAAAAGTTTTCTATTCCCAAAATACTGTAAAAGGACAGTGTGTGTTGGAGTCGAGGGAAAGATTCCGTGTGGACATCAGCTATCATGCAGGGCTGGTGGAGATCTTCAAATCTCTCAACTCAAAATTATATGGTAACAGTTTGATGACAGTTTGTAGTATGGAATGGTTAGTCCTAATAGTATAGATTATGCCAACTGGATTTACTGTAATGAGGGGTGGGGTAGCCTAGTGGTTAAAGCTTTTGCTCGTCACATCGAACACCCAGGTTTGAGTTCCCATATGGGTACAATGTGTGAAGCCCATTTTTGGTGTCCCCCGCCGTGATATTGCTGAAATATTGGAAAAAGCGGTGTAAAACAACACTCACTCACTACTGTAATGAAGCCATAGGAAGAGACCATCAGGAATATTACTGGTACTTGTGTGGGGTCTTTATTTGTGTCCACATGTACGTAATAGGTAATTAATGTTTAATATACGGTGCCAGTATTAAAAATGTACGCCCCATCTGCAGCTATTTGCCTATCTTCTTTCTTGGTATGCTGGGGGCATGGGTGGCCCAGTTGTCTAAGGCGCCGCAATTTGCTGTGCAAAGTTGCGTCCCTTGGGCGCGCCAGGAAACCTATGATTGTGGGTTCAAATCCTGGTTCGCCCCGATTATGTTTCTAGGTTTGTCAGCACCATACCCGTGCTCGTGGGTTTCACCGAAGTGGTAAACGTCTGAGACCTGCATCACTTCGGGCTTTCCTCCTACATTGAGCTGACACGCCGTGATATAACTGGAATACTGTTAAAAGTGGCGTTAAACCCCACTCACTCACTCACTCACTCTTGGTATGCTTCTGGAAACCTCCACACCATTTTGTTCAGTAGTTTTTTAATATTCTATTGAGTGCAACATATCAATCATAATGTAAGAAATGATCCCATTAAGATCCAAATTTAAATGTTTTAGAGGTTTTACTGTAATACATGTTTCAAGTTTTATCAAGTTTAATAGCAAACAAAATATCACTTCCTCGTCACGCTCATCTTACTGGTATCTGACTGACTGACTGACTGACTGACTGACTGTCATGTTAGATTGAAGTAACGTGGACCTTGAGTGTATTTCTCACCAGGACTCACTTCTTTGTGCCTACATGATTTATAATAAAACTATATATGGATGGTACACTGACAGATATTGTTCTTTTCCAGATGCTGTCAGTCGAAAGTGGAGCTTTAAGCTGGAAGATTATGATAACCTGTGTGAGTATCAGTTAGACCCCTCGGAAAATACTTAGCATGTCACTTACAGCTGTGATCCGTGTGGGATTCTGGGTTAGAATAGATTCACAGCAACCTACTATCCATGCTGGGTGTACATGTTGTACGAGTTGAAACATTGTTTTGATGGGTCAGTATGACCTGCCTCACTATATACACTACCGGTATATACGCCATGTACACTACATGCACTATAGATACTATGTACACTATGACCGCTTCCGTGATCTAGCTGATAGAGTCTCTTTCTGGAGAGTGGAGGTCAGTGGTTCTATCGCCATCACCTTGCCATACCAGAAAACAGCAAAAAGTGGTACTTGTTTTTTTTCTGCCTGGCATTCGGAAACATAGCCTCACACACCTCGAGATCCGTTGACAATTTCCTATATACACTTTACATTTACAAAATTATTGTCCCCCTGTGTGACACGTAATCCTATCATAATCGATGTAACTATCATCAACCAGTGTTTTTAAGCCAACTCATTGTTGAGTATCTTTAATTTTGGCTGGTATTGTGCACAACCAAGTGATGATGTAAATCCTGCTGGGGTATCATGCAGGACGCAGAGGTACTGTAAGTCCCAATGATCCCCAGCGAAGTGGCCTAGCTTTGGTTACTGGTGGCCTATAGCCCGTGTTTTAAAACTGTATATATAATATTGTTATGTTCAAATATGTTTCATAAATTGTTTCCAAATATATTATTCTCAAATATGTTTCACAATTTGTTTTTAAATAAAAATTTGCATTAAAAACTAAATTGTAAATATATTAACTTGGTCTCGTCGCTATATGGCTGAAATAATGCCGATGCGACGTTAAATTTTAACTCACTCACTCACTTTACATTCTATACACTGTACAATATATACACTATGTACACTATACACTGTACGCACACAACACTCTTTATTCACTGTAGACCTGTGAAGATCTGGGGTCTTCAGCAACCCATGCTTGCCGTAAAAGGCGACTTTGCTTGTAGGCAACTATGCTTGTAAGCTGGTAAGAGGCGACTAACAGCATCGGGTGGTCAGGCTCGCTGACTTGGTTGATGCATGTCATTGTATTCCAATTGCATGGATAGATGCTCATGATGTCAATCACTGGATTGTCTTCTCCAGAGTCGATTATTTACAGACCGCTGGAATATTGTTCAGTGCAGCATTAACCAACAAACAAACAAATAAACAAACAAACAATACACTGTATGTTGCAGTGAAGGCTGTGACCCCCCTGAAACCCCAGGTCCACCTTGAGCCCCTCCCCAGGGCTATACTACAGACGTTTGCCAAGCAGCTCAGGGGCACCTATGAGTCCAATGACATCCCTGAGGCTGACCTCTCCAAGGTCGATGCCGTACTGGTCGACGCCCTCATGCCGTTCCAGCGACTCGGTGTCAGGTAATTATTGGGGTTGATAGCGTGAGTGAGTGCATAGGTGAAGAGTCGTGTGTTAGTGCCACAGTGTTTCAGTTATGTCATGACATGTCCCCAGCTTGTGTCAACTTTGTAGAATTCAGGGTGTAGTCATATACCTCATTAGTGAAAGGAAGGAACGGGTACCCGGGCCAAGTTGTCAAAGGTGCAGAGTTGCGCCCCTTGGACACGCCAGAAACCTATGATCGTGTGTGTGAATGCCGGTTCACACCGATTATGTTTCTGTTTTGTGGGTTTCACCAAAGTGGTAAACATCTGAGACCTGCATCACTTCGGGCTTTCCTCCCACATTAAGCTCACGCACTGTGATATGACTGGAATATTGTTCAAAGCAGCATTAGAAGCCAACTCACTCCCTTAGTAGCAAAAGGCAGCCCATGATCACTACATCCGGCTCCTTGACCTTTGAAACCGGACACTCACTGCAATATTCACTCCAACATACACTGCAACATACACTGCAACATACACTGCAACACCAATTCCTTTTTTGAGTCTCATATCTACACAGACTGTCCGTAACCGTTCACCAGCTGCTGGAAGAGGCTTAGCAAGATGGCCTGACGTTGGCATTATTTTACTTCAAAGCAATCAACTTCAGCACATGCAGTGTCATGACATCTTCAGTGGCTTCCCCATAATGGCGTAGTGTTTGGTTTAGTGGCAGATCCTGTTTCCTTCTTCCAAGAAATCTGTATGTATCGGCAACGGAATGAGCGTTATACAAGATGTTGCATACAGATTCAGTGGAGGAAGAGACATTTTGTGGGGAGTCAGCTCTTATCGCTGAACGACAGATCTTGTTAATATCTAGGGCAACTTAGCAGGTGTACTTATCATGAAGAGATCTTTGGTCTTCCCATTCTTGAGTGTGAAGCCATTTCTGGTATCCCTGCCGTGATATTGCTGGAATAATACTGAAAGTGGCGTAAAACTATTGTCACTCTCTCAGACCCATGAAGATTCCTGGGTAGAATAGGTCTTCACCAACCCATGCTTGCCGTAAAAGGTGACTATGCTTGTCATAAAAGGCGACTAACGGGATCGGGTGGTCAGGCTCGCTGACTTGGTTGATGCATGTCATCGATCCAAATTGCGTGGATCGATGCTCATGATATTAATCACTGGATTGTCTGGTCCAGACTCGATTATTTACAGACCGCCGTCATATAGCATGAATATTGCTGAGTGCGGCGTAAAACAACAAACCAACCAACCAACACTACCATTCTCCAGGCTCTGCATTCAGCATGACAATGCTCGTTCCCACTCTGCAATTTCTGAGGTCTCAGAACATTTACGTACTGCAGTGTCAGTCAATCACCGAATCTGTACCCGATATAGCATCTGTGGGATGAGCTGGACTGACGTTTACGTCATTGTCAACTAGGGCTGTAGAATCTGCAGCTATTATGCCAAGCTCTTCAGTAAGAATGGGCTGCCATTCCACAAATCGTCATCCACAGGCTTCTTTGTTACATGTGCAGGAGGTGTGCCAGTCATTCAGCCTAATGGTGGACACATGCGGCATAGTCTCTACAGCTGCTGTGATTGAGCCATAACTGGCACATGCAGAGATGTCTGTGTTAACATTTGATGAACTCTGTTCCACTCTGTGATCTTCGCAACACACATGTCCCACGTATCACTTTTAAGGCCTTAGAAGTCACTGAACAAATCTCTTGAAAAGCACATATGCGTTTCATTTGAGAGGGGAGTATATTGTTATGTCACTTGTTACATTTTTGTGAATTCAAAATCATTAATTTACAATCAAAATAAATAACTCACAATAGCCACCTCTGATTGAAACAGCAGATTTGATGTCCCCATCAACACAGAAGATAATATTCATCGAAAGTACTTCTCCCTCAGTCACTTTCAGTAGCACTGAAATAGCGATTCATAACATCATTGGTTACAAACTGCAAGAGTTGCAGTTTCTACAGCCTTCAAAGTATGTGTGGCGATATGTTTGAAATTGAGGGGCGACCAAGTCATGTTTCCTTTTGAAGCAGCTATGCTACACTTTTAAAGCCTAGCATGTATGCAAGTAATGTATAGTGATGTGATAAGAAACAAGGTTTTCAGCATAAAGAGAGCAATACTTTGATTTAAGGCTATATCAGTGTTTCCTTAATTCAATTTGACAACTCACCCAAACATTAGACTCAACCCACGTCCCTTCACTTAGTATCTTGGTAGGGGGCGGTCGGGTAACCGAGTGGTTAAAGTGTTCGCTCATCACGCCGAAGTCCCGGGTTCGATTCCCGACATGGGTACAATGTGTGAAGCCCATTTCTGGTGTCCCCCGCCGTGATATTGCTGGAATATTGCTAAAAGTAAAAGCGGCGTAAAACCGTACTCGATCACTCACTAGTATCTTGGGTAGAATGTGTGAAGCTCATTTCTGGTATACCCCTCCGAAATATTGCTGGAATATTGCTATAGTGGTGTAAAACCATACTCACTCACTCACTTAATATCTTCGCAAACAGTTTGTGTTTAATTTTGTCATGGCAGAATGGAGATAAACATACTTATCTTCAATGTTGAGCAAGCTTACCTGTGAACATAACTAAGCTGAGATGAGTTTTGAACTGAAAGTGTTTTGAACGACAGATGTTTAAGCTTACTTTTGCTTTCAGTTTTGCCATCCATAAGCAAGGCCGGGTGCTGCTAGCTGATGATATGGGCCTGGGAAAGACGATACAAGCCATATGTGTTGCAGCCTACTACCGGCATCTGTGGCCGTTGTTGGTTGTCTCCCCTTCTTCTGTTAGGTTCGACTGGGCTCAGGTAGGTCTGTATTTACAGCCGTACTACATGGTGAATTGTAGCTATCTGTGTTGCAGCCTACTACCGGCATCTGTGGCCCTTGTTGGTTGTCTCCCCTTCTTCTGTTAGGTTCGACTGGGCTCAGGTAGGTCTGTATTTACAGCCGTACTACATGGTGAATTGTAGCTATCTGTGTTGCTGCCTACTACCGGCATCTGTGGCCCTTGTTGGTTGTCTACCCTTCTTCTGTTAGATTCGACTGGGCTCAGGTAGGTCTGTATTTACAGCCGTACTACATGGTGAATTGTAGCTATCTGTGTTGCTGCCTACTACCGGCATCTGTGGCCCTTGTTGGTTGTCTACCCTTCTTCTGTTAGGTTCGACCGGGCTCAGGTAGGTCTGTATTTACAGCCGTACTACATGGTGAATTGTAGCTATCTGTGTTGCTGCCTACTACCGGCATCTGTGGCCCTTGTTGGTTGTCTACCCTTCTTCTGTTAGGTTCGACCGGGCTCAGGTAGGTCTGTATTTACAGCCGTACTACATGGTGAATTGTAGCCATCTGTGTTGCTGCCTACTACCGACATCTGTGGCCCTTGTTGGTTGTCTACCCTTCTTCTGTTAGATTCGACTGGGCTCAGGTAGGTCTGTATTTACAGCCGTACTACATGGTGAATTGTAGCCATCTGTGTTGCTGCCTACTACCGACATCTGTGGCCCTTGTTGGTTGTCTCCCCTTCTTCTGTTAAGTTCGACTGGGCTCAGGTAGGTCTGTATTTACAGCCGTACTACATGGTGAATTGTAGCCATCTGTGTTGCAGCCTACTACCGGCATCTCTGGCCGTTGTTGGTTGTCTCCCCTTATTCTGTTAGATTCGACTGGGCTCAGGTAGGTCTGTATTTACAGCCGTACTACATGGTGAATTGTAGCCATCTGTGTTGCAGCCTACTACCGGCATCTCTGGCCGTTGTTGGTTGTCTCCCCTTATTCTGTTAGATTCGACTGGGCTCAGGTAGGTCTGTATTTACAGCCGTACTACATGGTGAATTGTAGCCATCTGTGTTGCAGCCTACTACCGGCATCTCTGGCCGTTGTTGGTTGTCTCCCCTTATTCTGTTAGATTCGACTGGGCTCAGGTAGGTCTGTATTTACAGCCGTACTACATGGTGAATTGTAGCCATCTGTGTTGCAGCCTACTACCGGCATCTCTGGCCGTTGTTGGTTGTCTCCCCTTATTCTGTTAGATTCGACTGGGCTCAGGTAGGTCTGTATTTACAGCCGTACTACATGGTGAATTGTAGCTATCTGTGTTGCAGCCTACTACCGGCATCTCTGGCCGTTGTTGGTTGTCTCCCCTTATTCTGTTAGATTCGACTGGGCTCAGGTAGGTCTGTATTTACAGCCGTACTACATGGTGAATTGTAGCTATCTGTGTTGCTGCCTACTACCGGCATCTGTGGCCCTTGTTGGTTGTCTACCCTTCTTCTGTTAGATTCGACTGGGCTCAGGTAGGTCTGTATTTACAGCCGTACTACATGGTGAATTGTAGCTATCTGTGTTGCAGCCTACTACCGGCATCTGTGGCCCTTGTTGGTTGTCTACCCTTCTTCTGTTAGATTCGACTGGGCTCAGGTAGGTCTGTATTTACAGCCGTACTACATGGTGAATTGTAGCCATCTGTGTTGCAGCCTACTACTGGCATCTCTGGCCGTTGTTGGTTGTCTCCCCTTATTCTGTTAGATTCGACTGGGCTCAGGTAGGTCTGTATTTACAGCCGTACTACATGGTGAATTGTAGCTATCTGTGTTGCAGCCTACTACCGGCATCTCTGGCCGTTGTTGGTTGTCTCCCCTTATTCTGTTAGATTCGACTGGGCTCAGGTAGGTCTGTATTTACAGCCGTACTACATGGTGAATTGTAGCTATCTGTGTTGCAGCCTACTACCGGCATCTCTGGCCGTTGTTGGTTGTCTCCCCTTATTCTGTTAGATTCGACTGGGCTCAGGTAGGTCTGTATTTACAGCCGTACTACATGGTGAATTGTAGCTATCTGTGTTGCAGCCTACTACCGGCATCTCTGGCCGTTGTTGGTTGTCTCCCCTTATTCTGTTAGATTCGACTGGGCTCAGGTAGGTCTGTATTTACAGCCGTACTACATGGTGAATTGTAGCCATCTGTGTTGCAGCCTACTACCGGCATCTCTGGCCGTTGTTGGTTGTCTCCCCTTATTCTGTTAGATTCGACTGGGCTCAGGTAGGTCTGTATTTACAGCCGGACTACATGGTGAATTGTAGCCATCTGTGTTGCAGCCTACTACCGGCATCTCTGGCCGTTGTTGGTTGTCTCCCCTTATTCTGTTAGATTCGACTGGGCTCAGGTAGGTCTGTATTTACAGCCGTACTACATGGTGAATTGTAGCCATCTGTGTTGCAGCCTACTACCGGCATCTCTGGCCGTTGTTGGTTGTCTCCCCTTATTCTGTTAGATTCGACTGGGCTCAGGTAGGTCTGTATTTACAGCCGTACTACATGGTGAATTGTAGCTATCTGTGTTGCAGCCTACTACCGGCATCTCTGGCCGTTGTTGGTTGTCTCCCCTTATTCTGTTAGGTTCGACTGGGCTCAGGTAGGTCTGTATTTACAGCCGTACTACATGGTGAATTGTAGCTATCTGTGTTGCAGCCTACTACCGGCATCTCTGGCCGTTGTTGGTTGTCTCCCCTTATTCTGTTAGATTCGACTGGGCTCAGGTAGGTCTGTATTTACAGCCGTACTACATGGTGAATTGTAGCTATCTGTGTTGCAGCCTACTACCGGCATCTCTGGCCGTTGTTGGTTGTCTCCCCTTATTCTGTTAGATTCGACTGGGCTCAGGTAGGTCTGTATTTACAGCCGTACTACATGGTGAATTGTAGCCATCTGTGTTGCAGCCTACTACCGGCATCTCTGGCCGTTGTTGGTTGTCTCCCCTTATTCTGTTAGATTCGACTGGGCTCAGGTAGGTCTGTATTTACAGCCGTACTACATGGTGAATTGTAGCCATCTGTGTTGCTGCCTATTACCGGCATCTCTGGCCGTTGTTGGTTGTCTCCCCTTATTCTGTTAGATTCGACTGGGCTCAGGTAGGTCTGTATTTACAGCCGTACTACATGGTGAATTGTAGCCATCTGTGTTGCTGCCTACTACCGGCATCTCTGGCAGTTGTTGGTTGTCTCCCCTTATTCTGTTAGATTCGACTGGGCTCAGGTAGGTCTGTATTTACAGCCGTACTACATGGTGAATTGTAGCTATCTGTGTTGCTGCCTACTACCGGCATCTGTGGCCCTTGTTGGTTGTCTACCCTTCTTCTGTTAGATTCGACTGGGCTCAGGTAGGTCTGTATTTACAGCCGTACTACATGGTGAATTGTAGCCATCTGTGTTGCAGCCTACTACTGGCATCTCTGGCCGTTGTTGGTTGTCTCCCCTTATTCTGTTAGATTCGACTGGGCTCAGGTAGGTCTGTATTTACAGCCGTACTACATGGTGAATTGTAGCTATCTGTGTTGCAGCCTACTACCGGCATCTCTGGCCGTTGTTGGTTGTCTCCCCTTATTCTGTTAGATTCGACTGGGCTCAGGTAGGTCTGTATTTACAGCCGTACTACATGGTGAATTGTAGCTATCTGTGTTGCAGCCTACTACCGGCATCTCTGGCCGTTGTTGGTTGTCTCCCCTTATTCTGTTAGATTCGACTGGGCTCAGGTAGGTCTGTATTTACAGCCGTACTACATGGTGAATTGTAGCTATCTGTGTTGCAGCCTACTACCGGCATCTGTGGCCGTTGTTGGTTGTCTCCCCTTATTCTGTTAGATTCGACTGGGCTCAGGTAGGTCTGTATTTACAGCCGTACTACATGGTGAATTGTAGCCATCTGTGTTGCAGCCTACTACCGGCATCTCTGGCCGTTGTTGGTTGTCTCCCCTTATTCTGTTAGATTCGACTGGGCTCAGGTAGGTCTGTATTTACAGCCGGACTACATGGTGAATTGTAGCCATCTGTGTTGCAGCCTACTACCGGCATCTCTGGCCGTTGTTGGTTGTCTCCCCTTATTCTGTTAGGTTCGACTGGGCTCAGGTAGGTCTGTATTTACAGCCGTACTACATGGTGAATTGTAGCTATCTGTGTTGCAGCCTACTACCGGCATCTCTGGCCGTTGTTGGTTGTCTCCCCTTATTCTGTTAGATTCGACTGGGCTCAGGTAGGTCTGTATTTACAGCCGTACTACATGGTGAATTGTAGCTATCTGTGTTGCAGCCTACTACCGGCATCTCTGGCCGTTGTTGGTTGTCTCCCCTTATTCTGTTAGATTCGACTGGGCTCAGGTAGGTCTGTATTTACAGCCGTACTACATGGTGAATTGTAGCCATCTGTGTTGCAGCCTACTACCGGCATCTCTGGCCGTTGTTGGTTGTCTCCCCTTATTCTGTTAGATTCGACTGGGCTCAGGTAGGTCTGTATTTACAGCCGTACTACATGGTGAATTGTAGCCATCTGTGTTGCTGCCTACTACCGGCATCTCTGGCCGTTGTTGGTTGTCTCCCCTTATTCTGTTAGATTCGACTGGGCTCAGGTAGGTCTGTATTTACAGCCGTACTACATGGTGAATTGTAGCCATCTGTGTTGCTGCCTACTACCGGCATCTCTGGCAGTTGTTGGTTGTCTCCCCTTATTCTGTTAGATTCGACTGGGCTCAGGTAGGTCTGTATTTACAGCCGTACTACATGGTGAATTGTACTGGTTCTGTTTATCTGAAAGAAGACTTGGTGAGTATATCAGCAGTGCTAGGAAGTGGATCAAGTGGACGGGTCTGGCATTATAACATACAGACAGAACTAACTCTCAATTTAATTAAAATCAGACTTTAGTTCTCGCTGCCGCTAAACAATAATCTGAGGACATGCCATTACGGGTCATGTCAGACCGACCTTTCGGGAATTTTGACCGACCAATGGGTTGACTGACAAGAAATTGACATTAGCCAATCAGAAGGCAGCTTTCTTGTGCTTGCACTAGTTTCAAACTGGCGACTACGCTTTGAAACATATTTTGACGAATTCTTGATTAACAATTTGAAAACAGAACAAACAAACATTCTGGAATCTATAATAAATGGCTTAGATTGTATTGATTCAGTCATAAAGCTCTTTACTGTCGTATACACCCTGTTAAATATTTCTAGGTTGCATGATCAGAAATCACATTCTGAATGTCACTTATATGATCTGGTAAGGGACACTCTGATTGGTCAGATGAAAGATAATTCTGACGTGAATCGTAATGTGATGTCCTCAGATCTGTGTTTAGCAGTAGTGAGAACTAAGATCTGATTTTAATGAGATCGAGCTATCTCTAGGATATTCAACTGTGGCAATCAAATTTCGAAAAAGTCCTTATTTGTCCCAAAATGGAAGTGTCTTTTAGTCCTTTTTCTTAAATTTAGAGGAATTTAGCATTACATTTGCAGTGGTGTTAAACTAACAAGTAAATCTCTCTGTATTGACCAATTGACCGTATCCTCTGTGAAATAAATCCCAGCCCAGTCCGATGTACCTCCTACATGTCCATGCACTCCCTCACGATGTACTTATCGAGTTGTATAATACAGCAAATCCGGCGGTGGATCCCGAGTTTGGACCCCCAGGAGATCAACGTGGTGGTGTCGGGCAAGTCCAGCTGTACTTCGGGGCAGGTGAACATCGTCAGTTATGACATTCTGGCAAGGAAGGCTGAAGACATCAAGAAGAAGCACTTCCAGGTGGTCATCATGGTGAGGCAGAGTTTATGCTCATCTGTGAGGTGAAATAGGGTTTAACGTCGCGTCCAAGATTATTGCACCTATATAGCGACATGCATGTACATGTGTGTGTTTGTGTGGCTGCTTGTACTAGTCCGGACTGATGCCAATTTATAGTGCTAGCTCACTGAGATACCATGTCGCAGTTTAACATGAATACCCCACTCGGACACAGTATACTGACTCCGAGCCGACCAGTCCATGTTTTAGCCCCTTAATGCCGAGCGCCAGACAGGGTAACAACAAGTACAATCTTTTAACGTTTTTTGGTATGATGCGGCCGGGGAACGAACCCCGGACCTTCCGCTCTCCGGGCGGACGCTGTACCACTAGACCACGGAGGCAGTCTGCTCATTTGTGTCCAATTGCTTTCTTATATCATTTATATATATGTCCGCCAGGAGAGTGGAAGGTTTTTTTGTTCGACCCCTGGCTGCCTTGTACCAAAAGACGGTAAAAGATGGTACTTGGTGATACCCTGTCTGGCGTTCGGGGATAATGGGCTTAAACAAAGACTGGTTGGCTCGGAGTCAGTATACTGTGTCTGAGTGGGGTATTCATGAAACTGTGGCATGGTATCTCAGCGGGCTAGCACTATAAAATCGGCATTAGTTCGGACTAGTACAAGCTCAACACACATTTTTTCGATTCATGTCACAACCTTAACATGAATAGACATAATAAATATAAATAACTTTAGTTTATTTTTTGGTTATCGGCTGAAATATTTTTGAAGCATTTGATATATTACAAATACAAAAAGATATAAGGCCACACCAGTTTAATTGTTCCACAGGTCTGACTGGGACTTTGTAGCCATACGGATCAAATGCATGTATTGGCCTAATCTCATTGAAATCAGGGACTGCCACCGTGGTCTAGTGGTAGAGCATCCGCCCGGGGAGCGGAAGGTTGGGGTTCGATCCCTGGCTGCGTTATACCAAAAGACGTTAAAAGATTGTACTTGTTGTTACCCTGTCTGGCGCTCGGCATTAAGGAGCTAAAACAAGGACTGGTCGGCTCTGAGTCAGCTCGGCTTGTTGTTACCCTGAATTCTTTTACTCCAATGTGATACCTCTCAGCGTTAAGTGAGCGAAACGTTCAGACAGTATATCTGATTTCTTGAAAACAGTCATAGTTGTGATGTTCCGACTGCCATTAGATAAAGCCTTGCCGTCATATTGAAATTCATCTGATTGTTTCTGAGCAGCATGGCATCTACCCTCAAAAGGGAGAACGCTGGAAGGAATATTTGTGTTTTCTGTATGGGTTTTCATTTGTAAATATTGAACTTTATGAATCGAGTTGGTAAAGAAGTAAGACAAATCATTTTAGAAAGCTGACTCCTGATTGGCTCATGAACCCGTGTCTCCTTTATGTTAATTGGGTGGTCAAAGTTCGCTCAGGGTTCACCAGACGTGATCTTCTCTAGAGGTGTCCTCAGATCTTGAAGCTGAGAGGAATCTTCTCGGAGTAAAATATCTGATTGTAATGAGATTGGTGTTGTCTCTGGCTAGCACAAATTGTGATTGTCACTTGTGTATCATTACTAAACCAAAGAACCTGGAAATATTATGCTGATACATTAATCAGGTACACAAACACAGAGGTTAACTTCAAGTGCTGTTTTGAATAAAAAAACATTAAAATAACTGCCATAGGCCACACATTTTGTATTTTTCGTTTAAAAAATTAAACAGAAAAGGGATTATTTTTATTATGTTTCCCGCTACTAATATAGACCTAAATAAAAAATGTTATATATAAATTCCATGTCTACATCACTATCAGTTTTAACTCCACAGGAGAATGATTTTCAAATGAATGCATGAATGAATGAATAATAAAAAAAAGTAAAAAAAATAAACAAAAAATAAATAGCTGTTTATTTAAATATTTATTTTAAAAGAACCTTGTGTGGAAAAGCTGGAATAAATCCTTGAAACATTAAATTTAAGAAGTGTGGCCTAATTTCTCATGTACATTGGTCAGACGTGTTGACATGAATGTTGTTTCATTCAAGGACGAGTGCCACTTCCTGAAAAACTTCAAGACTGTTCGGACAAAAGCAGCTCTGCCAATACTTCAGGTCAGTTCATTGGATGTGTTCAGGGGTGTTTCGTTATTCTTGGTGATGGGAATGTATTACATTACATCACACTGACCCCCTGAGGTGAATAATTGGATCAGGTTGTCAAGCTTATTTACTTAGTTGATTGTGGTAAATAGAATCTCACCCTCTATCTTGGAAGACATTAGGTCGAGTTTCCCTATGCATTCACTGCTGGTAATGTGTTGGTCATGCTGTACGTCATCACATGATCTGTTGTCAGAATGCAAGGAAGGTGTTGTTGCTGTCGGGCACGCCGGCCCTGTCTCGTCCGTCCGAGCTGTACACGCAGATTGTTGCTGTTGTTCCATCTCTCTTCAAGTTCCATGACTTCGGTGTCCGCTACTGTGATGGGAAACAGGTAGATGCAAGAAGCCCATTGTTCCTAGGTGCCTCAGTTTGCTGAGCAGAGTTGCACCCCTTAACCTTGCCAGGATTTACTGTTTGTGTGTTCAAATCACTGTTGCATTGACAGTTGGTGTGTGTTTGTGTGTCAGCCACATTTGCATTGGCTGTTGGTGTGTGTCAGCAACATTTGCACTGGCTGTTGGTGTGTGTTTGCGTGTCAACAGCATTTGAACTGGCAGTTGGTGTGTGTCAGCAACATTTGCACTGGCAGTTGGTGTGTGTCAGCAACATTTGCATTGGCAGTTGGCGTGTGTCAGCAACATTTGCATTGGCAGTTAGTGTGTGTCAGCAACGTTTGCATTGGCAGTTGGCGTGTGTTTGTGTATCAGCAGCATTTGCATTGGCAGTTGGTGTGTGTCAGCAACATTTGCACTGCCTGTTGATGTGTGTCAGCAACATTTGCATTGGCAGTTGGTGTGTGTCAGCAACATTTGCATTGGCAGTAAGTGTGTGTCAGCAACATTTGCATTGGCAGTTGGCGTGTGTTTGTGTATCAGCAACATTTGCACTGGCAGTTGGTGTGTGTCAGCAACATTTGCACTGCCTGTTGATGTGTGTCAGCAACATTTGCACTGGCAGTTGGTGTGTGTCAGCAACATTTGCACTGGCAGTTGGTGTGTATCAGCAACATTTGCACTGGCAGTTGGTGTGTGTCAGCAACATTTGCACTGGCAGTTGGTGTGTATCAGCAACATTTGCACTGGCAGTTGGTGTGTTTCAGCAACATTTGCACTGGCAGTTGGTGTGTGTCAGCAACATTTGCACTGGCAGTTGGTGTGTGTCAGCAACATTTGCACTGGCAGTTGGTGTGTATCAGCAACATTTGCACTGGCAGTTGGTGTGTGTCAGCAACATTTGCACTGGCAGTTGGTGTGTGTCAGCAACACTTGCATTGGCTGTTGGTGTGTGTCAGCAACATTTGCACTGGCAGTTGGCGTGTGTTTGTGTGTCAGCAGCATTTGCACTGCCTGTTGATGTGTGTCAGCAACATTTGCACTGGCAGTTGGTGTGTGTCAGCAACATTTGCACTGGCAGTTGGTGTGTGTCAGCAACATTTGCACTGGCAGTTGGCGTGTGTTTGTGTGTCAGCAGCATTTGCACTGGCAGTTGGTGTGTGTCAGCAACATTTGCACTGGCAGTTGGTGTGTATCAGCAACATTTGCACTGGCAGTTGGTGTGTGTCAGCAACATACGCACTGGCAGTTGGCGTGTGTTTGTGTGTCAGCAGCATTTGCACTGGCAGTTGGTGTGTGTCAGCAACATTTGCACTGGCAGTTGGTGTTTTTCAGCAACATTTGCACTGGCAGTTGGCGTGTGTTTGTGTGTCAGCAGCATTTGCACTGGCAGTTGGTGTGTGTCAGCAGCATTTGCACTGGCAGTTAGTGTGTGTCAGCAACATTTGCATTGGCAGTTGGTGTGTGTCAGCAACATTTGCATTGGCAGTTGGCGTGTGTTTGTGTGTCAACAGCATTTGCACTGGCTGTTGGTATATTTCCGCAACATTTGCACTGGCTGTAGGTAAATTTCGGCAACATTTGCACTGGATGTTAGTATATTTCCGCAGCATTTGCACTGGCTGTTGGTATATTTCAGCAACATTTGCACTGGCTGTTGGTATATTTCAGCAACATTTGCACTGGCTATTTATGTGTTTCAGCAACCGTGGGGCTGGGACTTCTCCGGGGCATCCAACATGGCGGAGCTGCAGCTACTGCTGGAGGAGCGGATCATGATCAGGTGAGGAGACAACACAGCAGCAACACCACCAGGGCATTCTTCATCTAGGTTCCAAATTACGTGCCCTCCACATACAACTTGGGAACATTTTTGTAAAGAGCACACCATTTGGAAGATAGGGGAGCTGAATGTTTTGAGAAATAATTTGGCTCCTGAAGGAGAAAAATAATTGTGCTCCATTAAGTGGTGATATTCAAAGCTCAGCTCTTAAACAAAAATATCCTCTTAACAACTTTATTTTTAACTGAAAAACATATTGTGATGCAAAGTAGACATATCTGTAAAGATCTGGGGAGAATAGGTCTTTAGCAACCCATGCTTGCCGTAAAAGGCGACTATGCTTGTCGTAAGAGGCGACTAAAGGGATCGGGTGGTCAGACTCGCTGACTTGGTTGATGCATGTCATCGTATCCCAATTGCGTGGATCGATGCTCATGATATCAATCACTGGATTGTCTGGTCCAGACTCGATTATTGTACTGACCGCTGTCATATAGCTGGAATATTGCTGAGTGCAGCGTAAAACAACATACGCACAAACACTTAGACAGTTTAAACTTTCATCAGAGCTTGCTTTGATTAGGTGTCATCCTACCCTTACAGCTTGGATCTTTCACCTATAAAATTGGGTCCATACTCAGTTATTTACAGGCTGTAGGCCATAGCTGGAATTTGTGAAGAGCAGCATTAGATAACAAACAGACATAGTGAAACTCAATAGCCTTTGATAGTCCAATAGTTCTGATTGAAGTTCCTGCTTGTAGACGGCAGAAGAAGGACGTATTGTCCCAGTTACCTGCCAAGGTCCGTCAGATGGTTTTGCTAGATCCCCAGGACATCAAGTCGAACAAGGACCTGAAGAACTCCTCCAAACTCCTGGATCACAAGAACCTCAAGGTGAACAGCAGTAACTCACAGAGTTGTGTCCCTTTGATATGCCAGGATTTTATGAGCATGGGTTCAAATGTTACTTTAGATTAGATTACGACTCTTGGTTTGTCAGCACCGTTCTTGTGATCGTGGGTTTCACCAAAGTGGTAAATGTCTGACTGCATCACTTCAGGCTTTCCTCCCACATTGCTTGCACACCATGTTAGCCATTGTTAGGGTTTCACCAAGTTTTAAATACTGTAAATCTTGATAATAACGCGAGCGTGAATTAAATGCGAAAAATGTGAGTGGTCTTTGCTCGCATTTTTAAACATCGCATTTATATCAACAATAAGACATTTTGGATAGCAGAAATACCAACTTAGACATACGCTGAAAACAAACAACTATGTATTCCACATCACTGTTTATTGAGCAGCACTTGTTACAAGTATATGAACAATGTCATTCAAACACTAATTACATCCTGTGAATTGTCACTGCTGGGGTCAAGACAAGCGTTCTACTCACTCATGTCATCACTGATCACACCTGCAAGTCCAGACAGACGCCACCCAACCTGGTGTCTTTGATCTTTACGACTGCATCAAAGGCTGACACGAGCCAGCGCACACGTATTGTTTTAGCTGAAGTACTCTACTCAACACTAATACTCGGTGCTATTTGGTGTGTGATTGGATTAATGTAAGGTTTGATGAGGGTGAGGATTCTCCAGTAAACCTGACAGAGGACATTTTGTTTAGATATAAATCCACTGATGCCTGAGAAGAGGGGGTGTTGCATTCATATTGAGTCACATTTTTGACTATGGCCCAGCGGTCGCATTCTTTTGGAGACTCATTAATTTCATGTTTTACAGTATCTATAATGATCTGCATCACCTTGGATTCCCCTTTCACACAAAGCTGACACTGTGATGTAACTGAATTATTGTTCAAAATGGGGTTAAAGGGGCACTGATCTAACGCAATTCCCCGGGACTGGTTGTTGCCTTTGTTTTGTTTTTTTCCCAGTGAGTACCCGGATGTATAGCAGAAATCTAGACTAGTTCGCGACCTCTGCTGCGCCATTCATAAGCGCATTAGTCACTTTTATGGGTAGTAATAAGGGCGTACGGTCACATTGATCAACAAAATGAAATACAGTTTTCGAGATAATAAGGAAATGTAGGTATCTTTGCGGGTAGTATCGGTAATGGTGACGAAATTTTGATAAGTCACTTGCTTGGTAATTTTGCGATTTTCGTTTACACTATTTTGACTTTCAACACAAAGTAAATATTTCACCTGAGCATTGCTTTTTTTTATAGTGTGTATATTTTTTTACTGTCAAAATGTGTAACATTTTCAAATTTATTAAACGCCTAAATATTCAGTTATTTTACAAAGTGACTGAAAAACATTTCCATCTGTATTATTATGATAACGAATTCCAAACATTTTGATGTTTAATGTCATCACCAAGAGACTGAAAAGGTTACGCTGAAAAGTACATTTCTATGTTGTTTGGCTTCTAATCCAACATAATAATCTGTTGTGATGTTGTTAGGCCCTTTTGATCGTCTTAATCAATTTTAGTCAATCTGAAGAATTTCCCAACCAAGACGTAGAGGAACAACACGAATCGGTTCAATGCTACAGCGAATGAATGAAAACAAAATGCAAATACCATAATTACAACCTACCAAATTTATGTGTATAAATTTTGGGCAGCTTCCTTGTTTGAGGAATGTATCCGTGAATATCCACACAAAGGAACAATATCCCACTCGTCTGCAGCTGTACAAAGAAACTTATTCGATGTCACGTGTCTCTGTAACAATCAAATATTTTTAAAGATATATATCGTTTCGGGATATAATAACCCGTGTTCCTTTCTCAACTGATCACTTAGATTGTTTCAGGTGTTTCACATAGGTGTCAAGTCTCAAGGGTCGGCTGAGAAAGCCCACGTGACAACTATTTTCATACCGTCCACGGTTCCTAAAAAAATCATTGAGTGATAGATAACAATGAGCAATCAATCAACGTATTATTAGTTAACCCTTTGAACAAAGTATGTTGTTTTTACATCGACACTTCACGCCATGATATGAGTGTATTCCCTTTGTTTAGTAAACCTAGACATGTAAACACTCCCTTTTGACATATCCACTGTGCAAGATAACAGTGATTAATCAATCAACATATTTTCTGTTAATCCTTTGATGACTAGGAACGATCCGTTGATTTACAAAAAAAGTAAATGAACTGATCATTCACCTCTTGCTGGGCTGCCATGTGCATATTACATAACACACATTTCACCTCACTTCAAACCTGGATTTAGATTGAATAATTACCCCCGACACAATAAATGCCAAATGGGAACCTTTGTCAGGTAATCTAAGTGGTGCTACCACTAATTGTACCCGTAGTAAATTCATTAACTGAGCATCAAGTGAATGACGACAAATACACAAGTGTAGGGTTATACCAGAAAACGTGGATGACAACAAGTGAGTAGTAATCGTATTATCGTCACAATCCGAAATCCGAAAATGCTTTCACTGCATGGATACTTTTTTTTTATTATTAAACTATAACCATCTGGGGTATTTCCAAATGACGACATACGATGAGCTCCGCCGTTCTTTTTGTCTGTTTGTTTAGGCTGAAGAAATTAATTAACATGCGCCTTTTGTCGAAATCTTTATAGATCACGGTTAAACTAATCAGTGTTCAAAAATGCGTAAAACAAATATTGCCTCCAGCCTCCAAGTTTATTTAGCTGTCCTTGCAGACGGTAGCCCAGTCTCTGGTCACGCTCAGTTGCGTTGCGTATCATCCGGGTACTCACGGGGAAAAAACAATAACAAAGGCAACAACCAGTCCGGGGAATTGCGTTAGATCAGTGCCCCTTTAACCAAAAAAATGTTAAAGCTCTTTTTCTCGCTTTTCAACAGTTTTGAGATGGCAGGGAGATTTGAGTCAAATTGGTGAGATAATTATTCAGAAGCAGGGGTCGATTTTGCTTTATCCCAGGTGCACCAGTGCAGGTAACATTTCCCACCACAAGTGCAAGGCAGCAGTTATATTTGATAACAGTGGAAAACTGAATTCTTTTAGAACTTGCTGCAAATCTTTTAGAATCCAGGAAACAAAAGTTGCTTATAATTGTGAAATAAACAGGTCTGAAGCGAACCTGCGGAACTAATTCTTCACAAATACCACTTGAACAGTCACTCATGAGGTTACAATCACAACAAACAGACACTTTGACACTTCTGTTTAAGGTTGTTTACTGGATATCAAGATGTGAAAAGCCATATACAGATTTTCTCAAAATAAAATACCTGAGCTCATTCTCAAGTTTATTTTCTTTGAATTTATTTATTATTCAAAATCACTGAAAATACAGTGTTTAAATTTATGATGAAATGCTGCAGCCAATATTTTGGTGGTGCAACCTGAATAATTCACTTGGTTGCACCTGGTGCAGGTGATAAAACAGAATGAAATTGTATTCTGAGAAGATTTATCAAAGCATTTCTCCAGACAACGAGAGTCACCGGCACTGTACAAGATATAAAGTGACATTAAGAACTGTCGTATAAGTGACAACAGTATTGACTAATGGATTAATACTGTCACGTTTAAAGAAATAAGATATCGGAATTCATAAATTAATCCTGTCTTAAATAGCAGCATAATCTGCATTATATCTGTTGTTTCAGGGGATGGAGAGACGAGGAGCCCTGTTAGAGTACTTCCACCACACCTGCACTGCCAAGACGAAGGCTGTCAGGTGGGAAGCTCACCACAAAAGCTCATAAGTTCATGCCCTGTTAGTCTGGAAATGTCTGTTAGTCGAGTTCATTTTAGACAAAATAGTTACTATGTAATTTCTAAGAAAATTCAGCTTCAAGGACGGCCATCAAAGGTGAAAAAGAAGCTCAAATAAGTTCTAAAACTTCCTAGTAACCTTGTCACAAGCTAAACCATATCATTATATAACACAGACTTTATGGCCAAGGGGCTATGTTTTTGAGTATTTGATTTCAAGATACACTGAACCTACAATAAGAAAGGGGACAAACTGTTTTCAGTCGGAAACCTTTTGTTATTGGAGCCAAGACTGATTATCACCTTTATGAATGTCAAATCAGAAAATGGGGCATGGGTGGCCCAGCCATCTGAGGTGCCGTAATTCTCTTTACAGAGTTGCGTCCCTTGGACATGCTAGAAACTGGTTCGCCCTGATTAGGTTTGTCAGCACCATACCCATGCTCGAGGGTTTCACAGAATTGGTAAATGTCTGAGACCTGCATCACTTCGGGCTTTCCCCCCACTTTAAGCTGACACCTGTGATATAACTAAAATACTGTTTAAAGCGGCATTAAACCCAACTCACTCACTCAGAAATTGCCTCTTCCTCATCCTGCCCTATGACCTGGAAATGCTCGCTCAAATACTGTTCATAGTGTCATAGTGTGCCAGAGGGACAAAGGTCTGCATTGATATGCCCCTTACAGATTATGGATCTTAGGTTAAATTTTCGAATCCAAACCACAGGCAAGTTCTGGCATCTTCCACCACTGGGCCACCCTTTCCGTAGTGGCAAGGGGATATAAGAATTGGTGCTGTCTGTCCGTCCGTCCGTCCATCCATCCGTCCGTCCATCCGTCACATTTTGCTTCCCGGCAGCAGAAATAAAAAACATGAGAGTTATCTTAACCAAACTTCGCACATAGATAGGTCAAATGGTGAACTCCTGCCTTTTGACAGTTTGGGATTTTGTAAATTTATTTTTCGAGTTTCCATGGCAACAACTTATGGAGGGCTTATGCCTTGCACACAACCGGAAATGTCATATTGGCAGATGATATGAGTATTTCATGCTTGTTATATTAGAGAAATTGTTTCAGGATCCAAGTCACTTGAATCAAAACAATTATCATTGTATTATTGAAATAGGTACATTCAACGTTTATTTTAGATCCACCCACCCTCATTTCCTTAACTTGCCTAGATCGTTGCTGGTTTTGATCCCAGATATCATGACCATTGCCTTGACCAAAGTGGTCAAAATCTTTGACCTGCATCACTGAGCTGATTGTGTGATATTATTAACACTGTCCAAAGCAGTATTTCAACCATCTATCCTGCCTGGAGTGTGAAAGGTCGCTGGTTGGTTCCCAAAGATGTAGAAGATGATACTGTTGTTACCTGTCACACATTACTAAGGGGTTAGCAAGGAGTTGGTATACAGTGTCTGATCAGGTATCCACATTAAACTGTGGGATGGTGTCTCATTGGGGTAGCAGCTCGAAGCAGGACTAGTAAACGTAGTGGGAACTAGTAAAAGCAGCTACACACACATGTACATGCACATATCACATAGCTGTACAGGTGAAATAACCTCACCTCAACCACCTCACGTTCTCCATCTTATAGAAACTACATACTGGACATGTTGGAGTCGGACAAGAAGTTCATCGTGTTCGCACATCATCAAGAGATGCTGGATGCTGTAGAGGATGCCATCGTGTCATGTAAGGTAAGCAACATTCAGAGGATGTCATTGTGTCTTGTCAGTAAGAAACATTCAGAGGATGCCATTGTGTCATGTAAGGTATGCAACATTTGGAGGATGGCATCGTTACTGGTAAGGTAAGCAACATTCAGAGGATGCCATCATGTCTTGTAAGGTAAGCAACATTCAGAGGATGCCATCATAACTGGTAAGGTAAGCAACATTCAGAGGATGCCATCATGTCTTGTAAGGTAAGCAACATTCAGAGGATGCCATCATGTCTTGTAAGGTAAGCAACATTCAGAGGATGCCATCATGTCTTGTAAGGTTAGCAACATTCAGAAGATGCCATCATGTCTTGTAAGGTAAGCAACATTCAGAGGATGCCATCATGTCTTGTAAGGTTAGCAACATTCAGAGGATGCCATCATGTCTTGTAAGGTTAGCAACATTCAGAAGATGCCATCATGTCTTGTAAGGTAAGCAAAATTCAGAGGATGCCATCATGTCTTGTAAGGTTAGCAACATTCAGATGCCATCATGTCTTGTAAGGTAAGCAACATTCAGAGGATGCCATTGTGTCTTGTAAGGACAGCAACATTCAGAGGATGCCATCATGTCTTGTAAGGTTAGCAACATTCAGAAGATGCCATCATGTGTTGTAAGGAAAGCAACATTCAGAGGATGCCATTGTGTCTTGTAAGGTACGCAACATTCAGAGGATGCCATCATGTCTTGTAAGGTAAGCAACATTCAGAGGATGCCATCATGTCTTGTAAGGTAAGCAACATTCAGAAAATGCGATCATTACTGGTAAGGTAAGCAACATTCAGAGGATGCCATTGTGTCTTGTAAGGTAAGCAACATTCAGAAAATGCCATCATTACTGGTAAGGTAAGCAACATTCAGAGGATGCCATTGTGTCTTGTAAAATAAACATTCAGATTTTGCAATCATGTCTTGTAAGGAAAGCAACATTCAGAGGATGCCATCATGTCTTGTAAGGTTAGCAACATTCAGAAGATGCCATCATGTGTTGTAAGGAAAGCAACATTCAGAGGATGCCATCATGTCTTGTAAGGTACGCAACATTCAGAGGATGCCATCATGTCTTGTAAGGTACGCAACATTCAGAGGATGCCATCATGTCTTGTAAGGAAAGCAACATTCAGAGGATGCCATTTTGTCTTGTAAGGAAAGCAACATTCAGAGGATGCCATCATGTCTTGTAAGGTTGGCAACATTCAGAAAATGCGATCATTACTGGTAAGGTAAGCAACATTCAGAGGATGCCATTGTGTCTTGTAAGGTTAGCAACATTCAGAAAATGCCATCATTACTGGTAAGGTTACTAACATTCAGAGGATGCCATTGTGTCTTGTAAAATAAACATTCAGATTTTGCCATCGTGTCTTGTGAGGTAAGTGTCATTCAGAGGAAAACAGATTTGTGGGTGTTAGGCTAGCTTGGTGGTTAAAACTCAACTTGTCAAAGGCCCAGGTTTTATTATGGGCATAATATTCCATGTTTACCACCTGTCCAGGTTTGTTTTGATGCCTCTTGTTTTGAATTCTTTGCTTTCATCAAATTCAGAATGGGCCCGAGTTTATTCGGATTGATGGCAAAACTTCCTCCGAGGAGCGTAACATTCGCTGTCAGAGGTTTCAGAACAGTGAGTCTGTGAAGGCAGCTGTGCTGTCCATCACTGCAGCCAACGCAGGACTCAACATGGCCGCTGCAACCGTCGTTGTATTTGCTGAGCTGTTTTGGAACCCAGGGGTAACTATATGATAACTATTTGAGAATGTTCAGAATGAGTATTTAGTTGTATTCTGATACAAGGGGATCAGAAAATAAAATGGTTTTCAAGTTTACCATTTGCCATTGGCAATATTTTGAACTTTGATACTTTTTTGAATTATAGCTTTATGTGTGGGTGAGTATAGAATAAGCTGATCTATGGCAGTGTTACATCTGGCAAAAATCTCAATGGTTAAGGTATGTGATGACCTGGTAGAAAATCCCCAATGTGGAAGGTTTTCCTATCTTTCATTTGCTAATATGCTTGAGTATTTACTGCTAATAGGTTTCTGTGGGACATTACTTTTTTGCATCACTTTATAGGATTATAAATCAGTTCGAACATGTTTTCAGCATACCTATACAGGTGAAAATCAAATTTACTGTGTGACTAGAACGTCCTCCTCGATTATCCAGTGTATTGTATCTCCATCCTATTATGATGAATACCCTGACTCATTCCTCTTACCACGGGTTTGTTTTGGAAGTGACGAGATTCCAAAGTTGAGAGTTTAGAGAATACTGGCATTATCGCTGCGTCTTTAACTCAAGAAAGAACAGTGTATGTCGATTGGATGTCTATTTTTAGTATCTTGGATGTCTATTTTTAGTATCTTGTCATTAATCCGTCCTCAAAACGAAGCTTAGGTGGCAAATGGGCCCACTGTATATATCATAACAGAATGGAGACATGAGTCACTGGAGCATCAAGGTTTGTCAGCATCATACAAGAGTTCATGGTTTATCAAAGTGGTAACACTTAGGTAACATTTTTTCAATGTGGTAACATTTTGGGATAAGTGCCATGATGCATCTGAAATATTGCAGTGCGGTTAAACCCAACTCTCTTATAATGAAGTGTATTAGTGCCACAGTCTAATTTTTTTTATCATCTACGTAGAGGATGCTTACATTTACGTAGATGATACCATGATCTACATAGATGATGCTTGATTTTTTTATCATTGTAGTATTATTTACGTAAATGTAAGTATCATCTACATAGATGAAAGTATTATCTCCATAGATGATAAAAAATAGTTAAACTGTGGCACTAATACGCTTCCATACTCTTACTGTTATCATTGTTATTGTGTTTACTCGTTAACAACTGTACATGTTACCATAGTGATTTGACTCTATTCCATCTCTAATAAATCCAGGGGGCGGTCGGGTAGCCTAGTGGTTAAAGCGTTTGCTCGTCACGCCGAAGACCCGGGTACATTGTGTGAAGCCCATTTCTGGTGTCCCCCGCTGTGATATTGCTGGAATATTGCCAAAAGCGGCGTAAAACCATACTCACTCACTCACTCACTCTAATATATCCAGGGGGCACAGGTGTCCCAGTTGTCGCAATTTGCTGTGCAGATTTGAGTCCCTTGGGCAGACCAGAAACCCATGATTCATGATTTGTCAGCACCATACCCAGGCTCTTGGGTTTCACCAAAGTGGAAGAAGTCGGAGACCTGCATCATTTCGGGGTTTTCTTCCACATTAAGCAGACACACCGTGATATTACTTGAATGCTTTTAAAAGCGGCGTTAAGCCCAACTCACTCACTCTTATATTTCCTGTCTCTGCAAGAAGATTTTGAATCTTATTACCCACAGGTTATCTTTCAGTGTCATTTTCAGTTTTTAGAAAAATTATACTGTTAGGCCACAATGATTGAATGAATAAGTTACTTATCCAAATGTCACATGGAGTATAAACCACTATTGGGATTTTACTCATTTGGTTTGTTTGTTTGTTTGTTGTTTAACACTGCACTCACAAACAATATTCCAGCTATATAATGGCAGTGTGTAACTTCTTAAGTCTGGACCAGACAATCCAGTGATTGATATCATAAGCATCGATCTACGCAAGTCAGCGATCCTGACATCCCGATTCCCGTTAGTCGCCTCTTACGACAAGCATGGGTTGCTGAAGACAAATTCTACCCGGATCTTCATGAGTATCTTCATTTGGTAGATAGGTGGGCAGGGATGAGATTGTAATAAATAATACAAAATAATCTAGTATGAGGACTTTTCTTTGCTGACTGACCCCATGGGGATTCTTGGTTAGAATTGGTCCCGAGCAGCCTATGCTGGTCTTTAGAGGTGACCAAATGGATTGGGCTGTCAGACTTAGTGAATTGGTTGATAGCATTTCATTGTACCCCGATGGCATGGATCATTGCTGACAATATCAATTATCTGGTGCAGACTTGATTATTTACAGGCCGCTGTCAAAAAGCTGGAATAGTGCTGAGTGCGACGCTAAACAGCAAACAAACTTTGCTGTCAGAAAGATATTTTACTGGCACTTCAGAGAATTAAAGTCCATGTAGCATTGAACTGTCAGCCTTGTCCTTCACTGTTTGACAGGGATTGTCTGTGACATGTTTTCCGCAGATCCTGGTTCAAGCAGAAGACCGAGCTCACCGGATAGGGCAGATGGACTGTGTCAATGTCCACTACCTGGTTGCCCAGGCAACTGCTGATGACTATATATGGTATGAAGCTATTTGTGCAGATGTGTAAATATTGACTCCCAATTCCATGAGACAACATTACGAGTCATTTTATAATAGTGTCATGAATAAATTGCTACAGGTGTCATCTCGATTATCATGTTTATTACATCTTCAAGCTATGTTGATAAATACTCTGGGTCATTTCATTACTGTGACTTCATGCAGATTTGGATGCCACTTCCCAAACAATGCAAAGCAAATTGGCCCAGGTTATTCTAGAGGATGACTGTGAAATGAGTGTGAAATGGCCAGTACATGTTGTTGCTTTGTGCTATCTCAGAGCTCAAAGGAGCTGTCAAGAATGAACCATTTGTGTTTATTCCCACACGCTGAGGAAAGTTATGACACACTTAATCCTGTGGAGAGATATATCTAGACCTGCTCTGAGGCCAATATTTGGCCCCCCAAGTCTGCAGAAAATGTCACTAAAATTCCCTAATTGAATTTCAAAATGTCCTAGTTCACAGGTTCATGTTAAAATGTTCAATGAACCTCCAAAAAAGAAAATTGAAAAATCCCTATTTTGAGCAAAATAATCATTTTTGGTTATTTGATGGCACTGGCACTGTGTTTGTAACGCTACTTCTACTGCTTTTGAGGCAAGTTAGCATTTATTTACCTGTACAATTTTTGTGATGGTTACATGTCCACCAGCTGTCAAAAGTGAGTGAAACGTACATAAAATATCACAAAACTATGCCCTTCGAGATGCAATTTAAGAACTCTTCAGTGATATTATTGTTGTTGTCTCTAACCCAAACACTATCCTTTCCCAGTGTTAGTATTTTCTGACCCAAACGCTAACCTTTCCCAGTGTTAGTATTTTCTGACCCAAACACTAACCTTTCCCAGTGTTAGTATTTTCTGACCCAAACACTAACCTTTCCCAGTGTTAGTATTTTCTGACCCAAACACTAACCTTTCCCAGTGTTAGTATTTTCTGACCCAAACACTAACCTTTCCCAGTGTTAGTATTTTCTGACCCAAACACTAACCTTTCCCAGTGTTAGTATTTTCTGACCCAAACACTATCCTTTCCCAGTGTTAGTATTTTCTGACCCAAACACTAACCTTTCCCAGTGTTAGTATTTTCTGACCCAAACACTATCCTTTCCCAGTGTTCGTTTCTAACCCAAACACTAACCTTTTCCAGTGTTTTTGTTTCTACCCAAACCCGAACCCAAACACTAACCTTTCCCAGAGTTTGTTTCTAACCCAAACACTAACCTTTCCCAGTGTTTGATGTTTCTTCCCTAACACTAACCTTTCCCAGTGTTAGCTGTTTCTACCCTAACACTTACCTTTCCCAGTGCTTGATGTTTCTACCCTAACACTAACCTTTCCCAGTGTTTGTTTCCAGGCCTCTCATTCAGAGTAAGCTGGAAGTGCTGAGTAAAGCTGGGCTCACCAAGGACAACTTCTCAGAGGCAGACACTACACACATGAAGGTGAGCTCACTACTTGCCCATCACCAAGTGGGGCATGGGTGGTACAGAGTTGCATCCCTCAGATGTTCCAGAAACCTATGCCCGGGGTTCAAATGCCAGATTAACCCAGATCAAGTTTATTAGTTTCTCAGCACTGTTGAAACCTATGGTCCAGGGTAAGCAGTAATTATCTGGGACCTGCATCAGTTTGGGCTTTCCTTCCACCTCAAGCTGACATGAAAAATGTTCAAATCGGCATGAAACCAAACTCACTCTCTATGGCTGATCACCTAGCTGTTATTGCTTACCTTGACACCGCTGGTGTGAACTTATGTTATGTATCTTTGTCCGTCAGTCCATCAGTTAACACACATTTAGTTTATGGTTTACCATTCTGTTGCTCCAAATGAACATTTGATAAAAATGCTTATCCGTGTGATATGACGGTAGCCAAAGTAACTGGTCATACAAAAAGGTGAGGTGTTGCTGTAATACTCACAAGGAACATCCATAACAAAATATTTTGTTGAATAACTATATTTACTATTTTTTTTAAAGATTCTCCTGTTCCCATATTACTTCATGATATGTAGATGTTGTTTTGTTTGCAACATTATTGAGCTGAGGATACATACATGTCATATTGGTTGTAGAATTCTTGATCTGAGGATAAATACATGTCATATTGTTTGTAGTATTCTAGCTATAAGGATAAATACATGTCATATTGTTCATAAGATTCTTGATCTGAGGATAAATACATGTCATATTGTTTGTAGGATTCTTGATCTGAGCATAAATGGATGTCATATTGTTTGTAGAGCTCTAGCTATAAGGATAAATACATGTCATATTGTTTGTAGGATTCTTGATCTGAGGATAAATACACATGATATTGTTTGTAGGATTCTAGCTATAAGGATAAATACATGTCATTGTTTGTAGGATTCTTGATCTGAGGATAAAAACATGTCATATTGTTTGTAGGATTCTAGCTATAAGGATAAATACACATCATATTAGTTGTAGGAGTCTTGATCTGAGGATAAATACATGTCATATTGTTTGTAGGATTCTTGATCTGAGGATAAATACATGTCATATTGTTTGTAGGATTCTTGATCTGAGGATAAATACATGTCATATTGTTTGTAGAACTCTGGCAAAAAGGATAAATACACATCATATTGTTTGTAGGATTCTTGATCTGAGGATAAAAACATGTCATATTGTTTGTAGGATTCTAGCTATAAGGATAAATACACATCATATTAGTTGTAGGAGTCTTGATCTGAGGATAAAAACATGTCATATTGTTTGTAGGATTCTAGCTATAAGGATAAATACACATCATATTAGTTGTAGGAGTCTTGATCTGAGGATAAATACATGTCATATTGTTCGTAAGATTCTTGATCAGAGGATAAATACATGTCATATTGTTTGTAGGATTCTTGATCTCAGCATAAATGCATGTCATATTGTTCGTAAGATTCTTGATCTGAGGATAAATACACATCATATTGTTTGTAGGATTCTAGCTATAAGGATAAATACACATCATATTAGTTGTAGGAGTCTTGATCTGAGGATAAATACATGTCATATTGTTTGTAGGATTCTAGCTATAAGGATAAATACACATAAAAAAAATACACGTCGTATTGGTTGTAGGATTCTTGATCTGAGGATAAATACGTGTCATATTGTTTGTAGTATTCTAGCTATAAGGATAAATACATGTAATATTGTTTGTAGGATTCTTGATCTGAGGATAAATACATGTCATATTGTTTGTTGGATTCTAGCTATAAGGATAATTACAGGTATTGTTTGTAGAACTCTGGCAAAAAGGATAAATACACATCATATTGTTTGTAGGATTCTTGATCTGAGGATAAAAACATGTCATATTGTTTGTAGGATTCTAGCTATAAGGATAAATACACATCATATTAGTTGTAGGAGTCTTGATCTGAGGATAAAAACATGTCATATTGTTTGTAGGATTCTAGCTATAAGGATAAATACACATCATATTAGTTGTAGGAGTCTTGATCTGAGGATAAATACATGTCATATTGTTCGTAAGATTCTTGATCAGAGGATAAATACATGTCATATTGTTTGTAGGATTCTTGATCTCAGCATAAATGCATGTCATATTGTTCGTAAGATTCTTGATCTGAGGATAAATACACATCATATTGTTTGTAGGATTCTAGCTATAAGGATAAATACACATCATATTAGTTGTAGGAGTCTTGATCTGAGGATAAATACATGTCATATTGTTTGTAGGATTCTAGCTATAAGGATAAATACACATAAAAAAAATACACGTCGTATTGGTTGTAGGATTCTTGATCTGAGGATAAATACGTGTCATATTGTTTGTAGTATTCTAGCTATAAGGATAAATACATGTAATATTGTTTGTAGGATTCTTGATCTGAGGATAAATACATGTCATATTGTTTGTTGGATTCTAGCTATAAGGATAATTACAGGTATTGTTTGTAGAACTCTGGCAAAAAGGATAAATACACATCATATTGTTTGTAGGATTCTTGATCTGAGGATAAAAACATGTCATATTGTTTGTAGGATTCTAGCTATAAGGATAAATACACATCATATTAGTTGTAGGAGTCTTGATCTGAGGATAAAAACATGTCATATTGTTTGTAGGATTCTAGCTATAAGGATAAATACACATCATATTAGTTGTAGGAGTCTTGATCTGAGGATAAATACATGTCATATTGTTCGTAAGATTCTTGATCAGAGGATAAATACATGTCATATTGTTTGTAGGATTCTTGATCTCAGCATAAATGCATGTCATATTGTTCGTAAGATTCTTGATCTGAGGATAAATACACATCATATTGTTTGTAGGATTCTAGCTATAAGGATAAATACACATCATATTAGTTGTAGGAGTCTTGATCTGAGGATAAATACATGTCATATTGTTTGTAGGATTCTAGCTATAAGGATAAATACACATAAAAAAAATACACGTCGTATTGGTTGTAGGATTCTTGATCTGAGGATAAATACGTGTCATATTGTTTGTAGTATTCTAGCTATAAGGATAAATACATGTAATATTGTTTGTAGGATTCTTGATCTGAGGATAAATACATGTCATATTGTTTGTAGGATTCTAGCTATAAGGATAAATACACATCATATTAGTTGTAGGATTCTTGATCTGAGGATAAATACATGTCATATTGTTTGTAGAACTCTGGCAAAAAGGATAAATACATGTCATATTGTTTGTAGGATTCTAGCTATAAGGATAAATACACATAAAAAAAATACACGTCGTATTGGTTGTAGGATTCTAGCTATAAGGATAAATACACATAAAAAAAATACATATAATATTGTTTGTAGGATTCTTGATCTGAGGATAAATACATGTCATATTGTTTGTAGGATTCTAGCTATAAGGATAAATACACATCATATTAGTTGTAGGAGTCTTGATCTGAGGATAAATACATGTCATATTGTTCATAAGATTCTTGATCTGAGGATAAATACATGTCATATTTTTTGTAGGATTCTTGATCTGAGCATAAATGCATGTCATATTGTTTGTAGAGCTCTAGCTATAAGGATAAATACATGTCATATTGTTTGTAGGATTCTTGATCTGAGGATAAATACATGTCATATTGTTTGTAGGATTCTAGCTATAAGGATAAATACACATCATATTGTTTGTAGGATTCTTGATCTGAGGATAAATACATGTCATTGTTTGTAGGATTCTTGATCTGAGGATAAAAACTAGTCATATTGTTTGTAGGATTCTAGCTATAAGGATAAATACACATCATATTAGTTGTAGGAGTCTTGATCTGAGGATAAATACATGTCATATTGTTTGTAGGATTCTTGATCTGAGGATAAATACACATGATATTGTTTGTAGGATTCTAGCTATAAGGATAATACACATCATATTAGTTGTAGGATTCTTGATCTGAGGATAAATACATGTCATATTGTTCATAAGATTCTTGATCTGAGGATAAATACATGTCATATTGTTTGTAGGATTCTTGATCTGAGCATAAATGGATGTCATATTGTTTGTAGAGCTCTAGCTATAAGGATAAATACATGTCATATTGTTTGTAGGATTCTTGATCTGAGGATAAATACACATGATATTGTTTGTAGGATTCTAGCTATAAGGATAAAAACATGTCATATTGTTTGTAGGATTCTAGCTATAAGGATAAATACACCTCATATTAGTTGTAGGAGTCTTGATCTGAGGATAAATACATGTCATATTGTTTGTAGGATTCTTGATCTGAGGATAAATACATGTCATATTGTTTGTAGGATTCTTGATCTGAGGATAAATACATGTCATATTGTTTGTAGAACTCTGGCAAAAAGGATAAATACACATCATATTGTTTGTAGGATTCTTGATCTGAGGATAAAAACATGTCATATTGTTTGTAGGATTCTAGCTATAAGGATAAATACACATCATATTAGTTGTAGGAGTCTTGATCTGAGGATAAATACATGTCATATTGTTTGTAGGATTCTAGCTATAAGGATAAATACATGTCATATTGTTTGGAGGAGTCTTGATCTGAGGATAAATACATGTCATATTGTTTGTAGGATTCTAGAGCTATAAGGATAAATACATGTCATATTGTTTGTAGGATTCTTGATCTGAGGATAAAAACACGTCATATTGTTTGTAGGATTCTAGCTATAAGGATAAATACACATCATATTGTTTGTAGGATTCTTGATCTGAGCATAAATGCATGTCATATTGTTTGTAGAGCTCTAGCTATAAGGATAAATACACATCATATTAGTTGTAGGAGTCTTGATCTGAGGATAAATACATGTCATATTGTTCATAAGATTCTTGATCTGAGGATAAATACATGTCATATTGTTTGTAGGATTCTTGATCTGAGGATAAATGCATGTCATATTGTTTGTAGAGCTCTAGCTATAAGGAT